CTTTTACACCAGGTGTAACAGGATACACAGCTTCCAAATGTTCAGCTTTGGTCATTCCACGTTTTCCATTCCAAGTATTTTCCCAAAATCTTGGGGATCATCAACATATTTTCTGGCAAAACTGAGACAAACCTTTATGTTCCTTTTACTCAGCAGTGGTTTTTGTCGTTGAACTCTGCCATGCAGGACATTTTTGCCCAGTCTCTTTGTTGTGGTGAACTCGAACACTGAACTTAACCTCTTGGATGAGTCGTCGCTGCATCCTTGGGGTAATTTCCCAACACTTAACCACTGTTCAAAGGTTTGTCATTTGTGGGTAAATGCTTCTATTTTACACTCAATGCATCAAATTTTAGATATGTATAGTTTATTTTTTCATGGCATATTTATGGAATTGTGTTAAATTAGTGACTGTAATTTTACAGTCTTAGTGTGTGGAAAAAAGAACTTTGTTGAGCTTGAAGTATTCTTTTGATCATTAGAAAATGATCTAATGGGTTGGCTGGAAGACTGTTTACTTAGCCTGGCAGGGCGAAGGACACTGTCTCAGCTGAACTCTGGACACGCACACACACATACACACTGATATGCACACACTCATCCCCCTCCCTTTCCAAACGCCTTCGATGCTTGTTTCCTGCGGGGGAACACGGCGGGTCTGTGCCCAAGCTGGAATGGTAGCGCTGGGCAGGGCGGCTGCTGTGTTCGCTTCGGATTACTCCTCACCCCCCACCCAACCCTGTGGCTTATTATGTCTTTCGTAACGTTGTGCTGTGGACATTTATGTGCTTTTTGTGCAGAGGAGTTTTTTTGCTTCCTGTTCTCATGCTGTCCTACCACGGGAGCCCAGCATGAGAACAGGTCTCTTTTTTTCCTCTTGTACTTTCCCATTGTAGTGTACATTTCAGTGCTTTTTCTGTAACGCTACCGATCTCCGACTTGTAACCCCATGTGATCTCTGTGTTGTGTGTATAAGGTCGGGGGGGGGGTCCCATTTCAATGCAGGGCAACCTGCATGTGGCGAATAAAGCTTGGATTGATTGATTGTTTGATTGAAAAGAAAATATTCTCAGCCATCCCACAAATGTGCCGTTATGTGCAGAAACACTAATAATTACTTCTATTTACTTAGACTCTTTCAAGTTAACTTCAATAATATGTTCCTGTCGGTGTGCTTTTAGAGCCCAATCCCATGAATTAATGCTTCAATTTTGAATTTGAATTTATTTATTTAAAAGGGAAAGTGCAGTTTAACATAGTCCAAGTACAAAGCATGAAACTGATGTAATGCACATAAGTTTATAGCTGTTGCTATAAATTAATGTGATTAATGTATGAACAGGCTGTGTAGATAGGCTTTTAAGGTGGCAAATCTTAAACCCTTATTTAATAGTGCTGGGACCAGTATTTTTACATTGTACTATGCATGCTTCCCTTCGTGAATATTATTAGAAAAAGAAGGGTACATTTTCAGTGCTTGACAAAATTGTATTTGCTCCATTTTGCAACGTGAAGAATCAGCCAACATGAGTGAGCCAACTGATGAAAGAAAAAGAATCTAATTTTCTAAATTTCTTTTTTCAGGACTTAAAAAATTAAAAAGTACCTGCTGACTTTGTGGTTGGCATCAGTTTGTCAAACTCCAGAAGTATGAGGAAGTGTCCTACAGTGGCATCAGTTCCCATCACTCCTTCACAAACAAATATCCTGCACTTGTTTTCTGTAGTCACAAAACTGAATTTAGGATTTCTGCCCAAAGCTAATAGTGACATTTCGACCCAAACAGCCGTATTTCTTGAGTGTCAGCTTCAGAGCTGCACAACATGTTGAATACCACAGCTCAAATGGAAGAAAGCAGTCCTACATAGTTGTTTCATATGCACACCGAAAGACATATACTGTTAAAAAATGACTCCAAGAAGGCCAAGGTAATGCCATTTAGAACAAGCAGAGAGCATATTTAAGATTTTGGGGGCTGAGTACAATAACTTCAAGTTATTGTATAATTTTTTATCTGAATTTAGAAGCAGGAAATTAGAGGTCACCCAAGTCTTTATATCTTTAAGACATTCCTGCAGTTTAACAAATTTGTATAACTAATTATATTAAAATTACAAAAAATTAAAACTCATTCTTTATTAAATGTGTTTCTTCTATAATTTGTGTGTTCTTTAATAGAAAGCAAGACACCCATGCTCATGCCCATGTTCGGATAACGTTAGGAGGAAGTGGTAGAGCGCAACACTGAGAAGAAGTGTAGAAAACAAATCATTTCTAGCCCTCTTTAAAACTCTATTATCAGTTTAGTTAAAAAACATATTTTTGTGTTTTGGTGAAATGAAATTAGTTGTATGAACGCTACCGTATGCTTATTACCACTTAATAAGCAGAAGTTGTATTCCTAATCATAACTGAAAAAGATCACAGGGTAGATTTATAGCCCCTGAGTGTCAGATTAATTATTACTTGACTCACAACCATTTTCTCAGAACAATGTGGTTTTCATGCACATATGTATAGTACATATCCAACTGATATCTCTGTATAAAAACATTACAAAGACCAAAGCTAACCAAGTTCTGCTGGGAAAGAAAGAGAGCTCTACTTTCCCCTTTTACTGGTCTTCTGTTCCACATCCTCATGTTTCTTGTATTGTGTCAAGCTTATCAGTTGGCATGATTGTTAGATAATGGTGATATCTTTAAAAACAACAGAGATGAACCAGGAAAACACCGGCTTAGCTGAAAGGAGCTGTTTGATCGGGTTACTTGTTGTTGCGCTGGAGGGAGTGGCTGAAAACTTCATCCTGATTTGCTCTGCTTCAGGTTGTGTTAATTTATTAATTCTTATGGCAGTTTCTGTGGCTGTGATAAGGTCCACTACGGGCAGCTGTAGCTGTCCTGTCTAAAAAGATCTTCATCTATTTTCCCTGACTGTCCTTGGGTTGATGACCCCCCTGTATTCCAGTTCATTTCCCTGCGACAGCCGACCCTTGTGAGTGTCGCTTGTGTTTTCTGTTTTACTTTGAGAGTCTCGTGTCCTGTGTCCAGTGTTTTGAGCTTTGCTTTCCCCTGTCTCATTATGTCAGATTAGTCCCAGCTGTGTTTCCACCTGTTCCCCATCATACCGTCACAATGCTGTGTTTTTCTCCTCTGTGTTTCTGCTCACTTCCTAGTTCTCAGTTCATGGTTTGTTTTCTAGTTTGAGTTTCTTGTTTCCAGTTTCTCCTTTAGGTTTGTATTTGTCGTGAGTTTTTCCAGCAATAAAGCTGCCGTTTTGAGTTTATTCTTCAGGCCTACATACGGGTCCTCATCCTGCTTGCCATACAACACAACCATGACAGTTATTGCAAAGATACACCAGCCTTAATGCAGAGGATAAGCCATTCAAGTACAGTTGGACTTCCTCATCAACCGCCCCAGGCGTAAACACCTCCAGACCATAGTTTCAAAGCTACAAAAATACAAGGCCACAGACCAAAATATGACTGGGTTTGACCTCACAAGTAATGTAATTAAACAGCACCTTTCAGCTGGTGTTTTATCCGTTCATCTCTTTTGCATTCCTCTTCCTCATTCTCTCAAGATTTCCTCAATCTCCAACAGTCTGAAAAGAGAAACAAAACGTGACCAGCTTCACAAAGTGTAACAAGATGAAAATGTGATATTCATGGTTCATTGATAAAGTCTTTACTTGTGTTGTAGTGAAAGTTTCAGATTTTGCTGTGTCTGTGGGAGGAAGTTTGGAGGAAGTAACCTCCCCATATACACACCTTTGTCTGACATGCTATAAAAAGCTCAGTCGGAGTAGCAGAGGACACAATATCACCATGGAGGTCATTGTGTTTTTCTCGCTGTTGCTTTCAGTCTGCACTCTTTCAGCAAATCTGGCTGAAGCAGATAAGTCTTCAAACCAACAACCCTGTCCACAGGACACCCAAGCTGTGCTGAGACAGCTGACCGCCTCAGTGGCTGTGCAGAAAGAGCAGATCACGGTCCTACAGAAAGAGACTCAAGGTACAGTATCATGTCAGGTAGTGAGAGAAGTAACAGCAAAAACAAATTGGCATATGATCCAGTGTTGTGTTAGAGAGATATCAATGTCACTCGTAAATATTCAGAATGACTGAAATGACAAACATTCATGGTTTTGTTTTCTTGTGAAAATAAATATTTTGTATAGAAATGAAATATAAAAGTAAGTACAGAAATTTTGGCCAATCCTTAAAGAAATTGATGGTCCAGGGAAATACATTTTATTTTGCACTTATTTCAGAACAGACCGCAAAGCTGAAGAGTGAAATTAACCAGCTGAAGCTGCAGTCTACAGGTATTGTGTGGAAATCATCATGGCTCTGATCATTTCTAACTGTTAAAAAAATCTGCAGCTGACACGTTTTTGATGCTAAAATATAAAGGGTGTAAATATTTGACTTAAAACTTGGTGGATCAACATATGTTACTCCTATAAATCTGTCCACCAGGTGGCGCTACTGTGCTAGAAAATCTGTAGTTCATCACAGAGGCAACTTGACCACCAACATTGTCTTTATTTGTGGTAAAGCAGGGAGAGAGCGAGGGCAAATGAGCTGCACTGCAGTCTTTCAGCATACGGGGCAGCTGTGGCTCAGGTGGTAGCAGCTCATCTACCAACTGGAAGGTTGGTGGATCGCTCTCTGGCTCCACATGCTGAATCTTCTTTGGGCGACATGCCTCTATCAGAGTGTGTTAGGCAAAGCTCTTAGACAAAGATCAAAAGTATGTGTATGAATACAAGCACATTGTGTGGTCAGCTGAGTAGAAAGGTGCTATGTAAGTATAATCAATACTGGTCACCTGCTCAACCAGCAGAGCTATAGTGGCATGATAACGCCATTGTTTACATACAGTCTAGGGTTCATGTCTCAGTGAAAGAGAGAGGGAAACACGAAGTGGAGAGTTGACAGACTGTGGATAAACATGACAGCGTGAAACTGCACAGATTTCAAATGAGAATCAGTGATGCAGTCAAAGAAGTCTGCTTCTTCAACCATTCTCCACCCAGCACCTGTTGGAGGTGTGGTCCTGTGTGAGGTGGAGGATGAGGGGACGTGGGGGAGACCACCGCTCAGTGTAGCATGAACAGAATGAGAGTCACAGTTACTTTCTGAATGACATTTAAAAACATGAATCACTGTGTGCTGTCAGTGAGATTGTTTGATCTCTTTGCTTTTTTCAGATCATGCAGCAAAGCTGAAGACTGAGATTGACGCGCTGAAGCAGGAGCTACAAGGTACTGTGTGGAAATCTTATCTGACTGTGCATTTACTGGCTGTGCAGATGTTTTACTTTTGGAGGATCAACATATGTCAGTGCTATCAATCTATTCATAAAGTGGTGTCACTGTGTTTGAACATTTTTATTTCATTCACAGAAATAACTTTAGTACACACAGTGTTTTTACACATCAAGTACAATTACTGGATCCACTTTTCTGAATTACATTATGAAAAAAGAATTTCTGAGGGACTCTAGGATAAAATTATGAAAAAAGAAATTGAATTCCTGGAGAAATTTACCAAGAAATACATATTGCCTCTGAGTCTTCATATAGTTTTTATATGTATGGACCTCTGTATTTTGGCAATTTTCACTTTTAGCATCTGCTACGGCTGGGGTGTTAAACTTTAAGCCCAGGGGCCAGAATTGACTTGCCGAACACTCCAATCTGACCCCCTGGTCAGCTTAGGAAAATATGAACAAGGCCATAAACTTTTGGACTTTTCACTGTTTCAGTGAGAGTTCTGTATTAGTTATTATCAGGTTTATGGCTTTTCCTACTCATAAAAACCTCTCCATGGTCATTTATACTACGCTGAAGACAAAAAGAACTAGACAAAGAATTAAATGGCAGAAACATCATGTTTTTTCTCTCCTAAAGAAATCTGTCACCACTGAAAAATGAGTTTGCTCTAAGGTTTAAAATACATTGGCACAGATGTAGGGTGAGAGCCACTCAGGGCTGACTGTATATTTGTCAGACCTTGATGAAGACTCAGACTTGATACACGTTAGTCTATTTTAATGTTTTATTTTTATATGATCTTGTCAGAAACAGGTGACCCCACGAACTCCTGTTTTGTATTGAACTCGTGTTCACCCTGCTGATGAGCACCTGTTGGATAAGCGTTTAAAGCCATGCACAGTTTCCTTTTCCTGTTTTTTGAAAACTGAATGACATTAAACTGAGCTTATGTTTTTCTGAAGCACAAACCAAAATGCAACTAAAAGACTGAATAACACAGTTTGTTGTCTTGGCAGAAGCTACAAAATAACTTCCTGTCTGATCTAAAGGACGAGTTTAGGATCCTCAAAGTTAGATTTGATCAAATTTCATTTTCAAGTCACAGAGTTTGATTTCTTCTGTGACAGTGAAACGCTTCCAGCTGTCAAACATTTCTTTCATTGGAGATTAAAGTTTTTGTCATGGTCACTTTTTTGGGAAGAGTCTAACTCTACAACAGGAAGTTTAAATAATGACATTTCTCTCTCTCTCTCAGCCACACATGTGGCTTTCTCAGCAGCTGTGCTTCTTCCAGGCACTGGACCATATGTCGGACCCTTTAACACAGAGACCACTCTGGTCTTCAAACATGTTATCACGAACATTGGAAATGCCTACAACCCATCCACAGGTAATAACACTGAATGTCACTTCTCAGCTATGTTGATGTCAGGCTGATGTTCCAGATGTTCTAACAGCTGATTTTCCTTTTAACAAAAACAAATGTCCCACAGGTATTTTCACTGCACCAGTGAGAGGAGTCTACCACTTTGAGTTGCACATGTTTGGACATGGTGGTGTTGCTGTAGGTGCTTATTTGTACAAGAATCAAGGGCTCGTTGTTATTGCATATGAACACCAAACAGCAGCTGGAGAACTGAGTGGCTCTAATGGAGCCTCACTGCTTCTAGAGGTTGGAGATCAGGTGTTTGTGCGTCTCCTCGATGGTAGAAGGATATATGACAATCAAAATCATCACACCACCTTCAGTGGTCATCTGATCTTCACCATGTGAGAGGTGTGACAGCTCCAACACTTCCTGTTTGGCCTGTCCTGTGTGGGCGGAGCTTAGCCATTTTTAGAAGTAAAACAGGAAGTAAATCACCTGCTGGAATCAGTTTCTTGCTCTCTCTCTCTTTCTGGTTGGGTTCTAGTTTTGTGTTTATTTGTTTCTACTGACTCAGATAATTTACTTCTTCTTGTTATCTTTGATTCAAATAAATCCAGTTAAATGCTCAGTGATTCTCTTCTCTTTGTCCTTTCTTCGAGTCGGCTCTTCACAAAGTGCTGCTCCTCCATTAGGTCCTGACTATTTTCTATAAGTTGGTAAACTGCATCGTTTTTTATTGGCTCCACTGTCCTGTGTTGGTCAGTCTGTTATTTTGGTGACTGCTGGCCCACATGTTTGCTTTTAACTGGAGTCTTTCCTGTTAAGTTGAGCAAAATCCAACAGTTCCTCTTTTTCTCTTCTTTGATAATCATGCAGGTGTTTTTCTTAAACTCTTAACAGATGTTAAACCTAATCTGACTATCATGATAAAATTGTAAACAGCTGATTTAGTTTGATATAAAATGTGTGTCAGTGCTGTGGAGGAATGTTTCCTTATTTTTCATCTGAATCCAAATGCAGACACAGATAACTGACTGTAAACTTACTCGGGTTCATTTCTTTAAATTCTTTACTTTCAAAATAAAAGCATCTTTGAACTAGCATTGTTGGTTTCTTTTCATGTGTTTTATACATAGAGCAGCAATCAAATCTACACATGCTGGGAGTTACTATCACAGGTGGAAACGCAGAATGAGTCCTGTCCCTGAACAAAAACTAACACACACACATAAAGAGGAGGGAGAGAAAATGGTAGGCCAGCACAGAGAGGATTGGGGGACTATGACAAATCGTGACTTTAATAATAATAATAGGGAGAAGAACCCCAGGCTTAAACAACTTGAGTCATCAATAGCGTTTATCCAAGAGACCCATTTACTCAGAGAGGATGTGGTGAAAGTACGTAGGAGATGGCCAGGCAAAGTGCTAGCATCCTGTTGCCCTTCGCACGCGAGAGGGGTTATGGTGTTAATTCATAATTCAGTGCCTTTCCAAGTAAATAACACTATTTATGATAAAGCTGGCAGATTTTTGGTGGTTCAAGGAACTCCCTTGAAAGAGAATTTCAATTTAGTTAATGTTTATGGCCCTAATGATGATAACCCTTCATTTTTTGAGAATTTATTTCTATTGATAGCTACCCTTCCTGGTAGGATAATATTGGCAGGTGACTTAAATTGTACTCTGGACCCGAAGCTTGACCGCTCATCAGGGATGGACACTTCACACTCTCAAACAAGAAAGAAAATACAACAATATTTGAAAGATCTGAACCTCTGTGATCCATGGAGAATTCAAAACCCCAATAAAAGGGAATTCTCATGTTATTCAGCAGTATTTAAATCCCACTCCCGAATAGATTATTTTTTAATTTCCTCATCTTTGCTACCCAATATAACTAAGTGTATATATGACAGCAGTGTGTTGTCAGATCATGCCCCAACCTCACTATTTTATGAGGTAGAACAAGTGAATAGCCGCTCAAACAAGTGGCGCTTGCACCCTAAATGGATACATGATTCTGACTTTATGAAATTTGTAGGAGAACACATTGATCTCTCCTTCTCAATTAATACAATTCAAACAACTGCAGCCATTAGGTGGGAAGCTTTTAAGGCTGTTAGGCGACGGCTGTGTGAGGACAGGAATAGGACCCAAGATGCAGACTCCGGAGACAGAACTTAAACCAAAACAGCTTTAATGCTGAACGCAAACATCACATAACTAGAAAAAACTCAAAATAAACTAACACCGGTGGATGGGCAAAACACACAGCAAAATAAACGGTAGATCGCGACACAGACACTAAGAAATACAGGGCTTAAATACACAGAGGGAGCAATCAGGGAATGAGTAACAGGAGGGAAACACAGCTGGGACAAATCAGAACTGACGAGACCAAAGAAGCGTAAATTGAACACACTGAGACAAGACAGAGACCTTCAAAGTAAAACAGGAAACACATAACACAGACTGAACAAAGACACAGACTCACATGCAGGCACTACAAAGGGAACAGAGACGTGGGACCAGGGCAGACACAGACACTGACTGGATGTGGGGATACAGCAGACAGGGAAGACAGCAACATGGAACACAGACAGAAAACCAGAACACTAAAACTCTAACCAACCCCACCCAGAGAACCTAAACTAAGAATGATCCTAAAACCCATAAAGCAAAGCTAGAATATAATGAAATAACAAAATCAAAGAACCAAAAACACAAAACACTGGGTCAACGACCCAGGGACCCTAACAAAGGCATATATTAGAGGACAAATGATAAGTTTCACCAGCTCTAAATTTAACAAATTCAAACAGACAATGAACGAATTAGACAATAAAATTAGAGAATTAGAGAGAGAAATTAACATAGATGATTCAACACAGAACAAACAGGAATTATTGACCCTTAAAGCTAAATACGAGGAACTGTCTAAGCTTAAAGCTGAAGATGGTTTAATAAGATTGAAACCGACGTTTTATGATCAGGGTGAAAAGCCGGGTAGACTACTAGCTTGGCAGATAAAGAAACTTGAATCTGACAGAGCCATTAATATAATTAGGAACGATCAAGGGGAATTATCTACAGATCCCACAGAAATTAAAACTCTATTATCAGTTTAGTTAAAAAACATATTTTTGTGTTTTGGTGAAATGAAATTAGTTGTATGAACGCTACCGTATGCTTATTACCACTTAATAAGCAGAAGTTGTATTCCTAATCATAACTGAAAAAGATCACAGGGTAGATTTATAGCCCCTGAGTGTCAGATTAATTATTACTTGACTCACAACCATTTTCTCAGAACAATGTGGTTTTCATGCACATATGTATAGTACATATCCAACTGATATCTCTGTATAAAAACATTACAAAGACCAAAGCTAACCAAGTTCTGCTGGGAAAGAAAGAGAGCTCTACTTTCCCCTTTTACTGGTCTTCTGTTCCACATCCTCATGTTTCTTGTATTGTGTCAAGCTTATCAGTTGGCATGATTGTTAGATAATGGTGATATCTTTAAAACACAACAGAGATGAACCAGGAAAACACCGGCTTAGCTGAAAGGAGCTGTTTGATCGGGTTACCTGTTGTTGCGCTGGAGGGAGTGGCTGAAAACTTCATCCTGATTTGCTCTGCTTCAGGTTGTGTTAATTTATTAATTCTTATGGCAGTTTCTGTGGCTGTGATAAGGTCCACTACGGGCAGCTGTAGCTGTCCTGTCTAAAAAGATCTTCATCTATTTTCCCTGACTGTCCTTGGGTTGATGACCCCCCTGTATTCCAGTTCATTTCCCTGCGACAGCCGACCCTTGTGAGTGTCGCTTGTGTTTTCTGTTTTACTTTGAGCGTCTCGTGTCCTGTGTCCAGTGTTTTGAGCTTTGCTTTCCCCTGTCTCATTATGTCAGATTAGTCCCAGCTGTGTTTCCACCTGTTCCCCATCATACCGTCACAATGCTGTGTTTTTCTCCTCTGTGTTTCTGCTCACTTCCTAGTTCTCAGTTCATGGTTTGTTTTCTAGTTTGAGTTTCTTGTTTCCAGTTTCTCCTTTAGGTTTGTATTTGTCGTGAGTTTTTCCAGCAATAAAGCTGCCGTTTTGAGTTTATTCTTCAGGCCTACATACGGGTCCTCATCCTGCTTGCCATACAACACAACCATGACAGTTATTGCAAAGATACACCAGCCTTAATGCAGAGGATAAGCCATTCAAGTACAGTTGGACTTCCTCATCAACCGCCCCAGGCGTAAACACCTCCAGACCATAGTTTCAAAGCTACAAAAATACAAGGCCACAGACCAAAATATGACTGGGTTTGACCTCACAAGTAATGTAATTAAACAGCACCTTTCAGCTGGTGTTTTATCCGTTCATCTCTTTTGCATTCCTCTTCCTCATTCTCTCAAGATTTCCTCAATCTCCAACAGTCTGAAAAGAGAAACAAAACGTGACCAGCTTCACAAAATTCAAACTCCAGAAGTATGAGGAAGTGTCCTACAGTGGCATCAGTTCCGGTCACTCCTTCACAAACAAATATCCTGCACTTGTTTTCTGTAGTCACAAAACTGAATTTAGGATTTCTGCCCAAAGCTAATAGTGACATTTCGACCCAAACAGCCGTATTTCTTGAGTGTCAGCTTCAGAGCTGCACAACATGTTGATTACCACAGCTCAAATGGAAGAAAGCAGTCCTACATAGTTGTTTCATATGCACACCGAAAGACATATACTGTTAAAAAATGACTCCAAGAAGGCCAAGGTAATGCCATTTAGAACAAGCAGAGAGCATATTTAAGATTTTGGGGGCTGAGTACAATAACTTCAAGTTATTGTATAATTTTTTATCTGAATTTAGAAGCAGGAAATTAGAGGTCACCCAAGTCTTTATATCTTTAAGACATTCCTGCAGTTTAACAAATTTGTATAACTAATTATATTAAAATTACAAAAAATTAAAACTCATTCTTTATTAAATGTGTTTCTTCTATAATTTGTGTGTTCTTTAATAGAAAGCAAGACACCCATGCTCATGCCCATGTTCGGATAACGTTAGGAGGAAATGGTAGAGCGCAACACTGAGAAGAAGTGTAGAAAACAAGTCATTTCTAGCCCTCTTTAAAACTCTATTATCAGTTTAGTTAAAAAACATATTTTTGTGTTTTGGTGAAATGAAATTAGTTGTATGAACGCTACCGTATGCTTATTACCACTTAATAAGGCAAGGCAAGGCAAGTTTATTTGTATAGCACAATTCAACAACAAGGTGATTCAAAGTGCTTTACAGAGACATTAGAAACAAGAACAAATAAAAAGCAGGATTTAAAATTGATTAAAACAAGCAAATAAACTAACTAACTAATTAACAAACAAACAAACAACAGTATATAAAATCAAAACAGATAAAATCAGAACAGTAGATAAAATCAGTAGTTAAATGTAAGTTTTGAAATTTAAGGTTAAAGTGTGGATTTGGTGCTTTATTCAAATGCAGCTGAGAACAGGTGAGTCTTCAACCTGGATTTAAATAAACTGAGTGTTTCAGCTGATCTGAGGCTTTCTGGGAGTTTGTTCCAGATATAAGGAGCATAAAAGCTGAATGCAGCTTCTCCGTGTCTGGTTCTGACTCTGGGAACTGATAAAAGACCGGATCCAGATGACCTGAGGGATCTGGATGGTTCATACTGGGTCAGGAGGTCATTGATGTATTTTGGTCCTAAACCATTCAGAGCTTTATAGGCCAGCATCAGAACTTTAAAGTCTATCCTCTGACGGACAGGCAGCCAGTGTAAAGACCTCAGAGCTGGACTGATGTGGTCCACTTTTTTGGTCTTAGTGAGGACTCGAGCAGCAGAGTTCTGAATGAGCTGTAGTTGTCTGACTGATTTTTTAGGTAGACCTGTAAAGATGCTGTTACAGTAATCAAGCCTACTAAAGATGAATGCATGGACTAGTTTTTCCAGGTCCTGTTGAGACATCAGATCTTTTATCCTTGATATATTCTTGAGGTGATAGTAAGCTGACTTTGTTATTGTCTTAATGTGTTTTTCTAAGTTTAGGTCTGCATCCATCACTACACCCAAATTTCTCGCCTGGTTTGTG